AATCATTTTTAAACTGTTTTTGTCATTTAATGCTTTATTCTATGACTGAAAGTTTGCCTATTGCCCATTTAACTAAAAGTGTGATTAGAGTGAAAAACGCAGACATTTTTTGTATTGGCTGTTCATTTACATGCGACGTGGAAGGCGTCACTTTTAATTACTTTATCAGGGAATTAGTTGTAATATTCTCCTTTTACGGCTTTTCAAATACACACGATTTGTATCGGTTCTTAACAATATGAGTGTTGACGTTATCGGAACAATGTAAATGGCTCCTGAAAATCTGTTGCCTAACGGTACTCGTAGTCACTGAAGTGACACATTGAAGCATTATTAGTTGTCTGACCAGCTCATCTAACCTGGCGGAAGAATTCTTTTCGCGAAGCGATGCTCGTCTGTTCGTCTCGATGTTCGTCTCGGCGAACACCTGTCAAAACAAGTGTTCGCCTCAGCCCAGAATAAACTGTCGCGTTGTTTCTCCCCGTCGTCCCTTGCGATCAGGCCCACTGTTAGCGAGGCGGGGGCGGCGGGAAGGGCTCCCACCTTGCGGCGTGCGCTCTCGCTCCCGCAGCGCCGCTCTGCGCCTCGCCACGCCTCGCCACTCACTCCGCCGGCGGCTGGGGGGGGGGCGGCCGCGGGGGTGCGTCGCAACCGCCCGCTCCTCGCCCCGCCACTCACACGCCGCGGACGCTCCGAACAGGGCTTCGCAAAAGACGGGCGCGCGGGCCCGCCCCCACCCACCCCCGGCGGAGCAATCGCACCGCCGCCGCCTCCGCCGCACGCGCGCCGCTGCCGCCAAGCGCTCGCGCCGCCGCTGCCCGCGGCGAGAAATATCGTCCACGGACGTGTCAATGTTGGGATGTGGAATTACGCCCTTCATAGCACATTGTGCATCCTACCATGCTTCGCTCGTAAAATTCCTTCTGGTAGGAGCACGTACAGCAACTCTTTGTCGAACGACCGATTGATCAACTTTTCATGGCGAAATAATAACTATATTGTAAATCCGTAATTCTCTCATGAAAATTGTTCACTATTTAGTACGCTTTTGTCTTCGTGAGTCGAGAGGTTTTTGAGGTGTAAAATTAGTAGAACGGTGCATATATATTGTGAAAAAGGATATCAAAAACGCTTGTCTATCTACAACTGATTTGCATTGAATTTCGCTGATCAAAAGCCAAGGTGCAGATATATACGCAGCGTTTATTGCGGTTTCGTAAACAGAAACCTTTCTGTCAGGGTTAATGGATCACTTTATGTCTGGGGAAACCTACGGATTCGTCTATGATTACCTCTCTGCTTTACGCATAGTCGCTTTTTTGCGACACAATTTATCTGCCTGTCCCTGAACCACAATGCTCATTCACCTGCTGCGTCCTTGTGAAGCGCGCGGCTAGTGCTACGTATAATCTCAGAAACACACGCCGCGGCATCCGTAGCGCCGCGTCCAATCCACAGTGGGGCGGCTGGCGTCGGCGACTCGGAAAATCTCGGGAGTTCCCGTTGCGGCGTGCGCTGGCACCCTGCGCGCCACCCGCGGTTTTCGGATGATTGCGACTTCCTAACATTTCCCGACGTCCCTTTGCGCGTCTCGGTGTCGAGCGTCGCCCTGCCGCACTACATTCTTCCTTTTACTCTGCCCCCGACGTCTCTCCGCGACACGCCCGTCTCAGCCTCGTTTGCGCCTCGCTCGGCTCGTTCTCCTCCGCGCTCTTTCTCGCCTCCGGCGCTGCTTCCTCGTTGGCCTCCGCTTCGCGCCGTCCCGCTGCGCCTCCCTCGCCGCGTGTACAAATTGCGCCTTCGGCTCCAGCCCGTCCCCCGCCCGCCTCACTCCCTCCCCCCCCCGCGCTCTCCGTCGCGATCCTCGGCCGACCGCGCCCATCTTTTCACCCTTTCGTAACGAGACGCCCTTTACGCCTTTGCCTCGTCGGTGACGTCGCCCCCCGCCAGCTTCCTCTCGCGCAGCGCCGCGCCGTCGCCGTCGGCTTCGCCGCTCGTTCGCCTCTTCGCGGCGGCCGCCGCCGCGTCGCGCTCGTCGATGCGCTATCAGCTGGAGAGGGGCGCGACGGCTGATCGGGGTGGTGGTGAGGGCGTGGCGGCGGCGGCGTGTGAGACGCTGCAGTTTGTTGGGGTGGGGAGGGCGGTGCAGGTCGGAGGCCAGCTCGGGTCGAACGTCGCTGGCGAGACCGGGTAGGGACGAGGGCGTGGGCGGTGATGAGATGGGGACTCCGGGCGGCGGGCGTCCAGAAGAAGTCGCAGGTCTGACGAGGGCGGTGGCTGGGTTGGAGGTATTCGTAGGGTCCTGTCGTGTCGTGCGGGGCTGGCGCGTGGTTGGGATAGTGGAATGCGAGTCGGTGTCGGTCGAGGGGTCGGCAGGGTGCCGCGCCGCGCGGAGAACGAGTTGGCGATGCGAGGTGCCGGAGGTCAGGCAGCGTCCGCGCTGAGTTGGGCGCGGCTGGGCCGGCGGGGTGGCAGACGGCGGAGGCGGGTGGTGCGGTAAGGCGGCAGGGGCGGCGGAGGCGGGGCGCCTTGGCGGCAAGAGCAGGCGCTGCCGGCACTTGGCTAATCAGCGCGTTTGACGCCGGGGCGTCCTCGCCGCCGCCGCCGCTGCTTCTGCCGCTTCTTCTGTGGAGCGCTGCTCTGCGGCGCGGCGCCGCGCGGGCAAAGACGATGGGGCGGGAGGCGGTGAGGGCGGGCGCACGGGTCGTGAGAGCCGACCCGCTGGGCGTCGCCGCGGTTCGGAAGTCGAGTTGGCGCACATGAATTTCTCCGTGACTTGGCGCAGTGCCTGCGCACGCATGGTTTTTGTGCGCGATTTCCCTCTTAGCCCGGGGCGGTGGGATGGGGTAAAACATGGCGAGGCATATCGGCTCCGCTTGTGGAGATGGGTTATTGTGTACGAAGTCAGGTATGTTGAAGATTCACCACTGCAGTGCTATCAAATATTGTTGCTACCTGATAGGAGCCACAAAAAGAAACAGAAACATTTTTTTAAATTTATTTATTTATGGTCTCTTTATAACGTCATGGTCTTCAGTGACCCCTACCATTATGCAATAGTATATATAAACATGAACGCTATAATTTTTACATTGGTACATTTTAGTTACTCATTTTACAGTAAAATATATTATACGGCATATTCCAGCAACACATTGAAATGTTTTAAAACTTTCCCTTGTAGTGTTTTGTGTCGTAGAAACGTGAGAACATATTGTGCAGGATTCCTTTTCTTGCCACACGCGCCTTTCTCCGAGTTGGCAATTGGATAACATTATCTTTTATTTGGGGGAGGGGGCGACTTTTCTCTTATCTTTAGTTGTTGTGCATTCGACTGTGTATCGCTAAATAGAATCCTCTCTTGAGTAGAGACATTTGTTTAATTTCCTTGAATTCATAGAATTATTCAATTTATGTATGGATCGAATTTTTCTTATGTTAATTTAATGCTTGGTATTTAAACAGCAAAATTAGGATTTTAAATAAGATTCGCAGTACCGAGATACCTACCGCGATTCTTTCAAGCTCTTCTGAATAAGATCCCGGAATAAAACTCGTCATAAAATGTGACAATGCCAACAGAACATTTCCTTCGAGGAGCAAATTGATTGCATGTTCATTCTTATAATTTTCACTTCATTTCCAAGAGGGTAAAATTTTCAGCGCCCAGATAACATGTGTTAGGGGAAAACGAGAATCTTTTCAGCGTAGTTATATCTTCGTACTCTGTTAGGAGTTTCAGATAGTACATTATCTCGAACATTTCCCGTTGGTGTGATTGCAATTCGATCTTGCTCGGGTTCGATCAGTCTTGCGGGGTGCAACGCGAATGAGCTCCTGAGAGACGCTCGTGGTTTCACGAGAGGACGTGCTCCGCGTTTCACATGCATTCGTTTCCATTAGACGTCAGCGGTTAAAGATGTGGAGAAACTTAACAGGTTGGTATAGAGGCCGAAAAATGATTAGACGTTGTCTCAGTTATCTTTGCAGTAAACGTTTGTGATGGTCGCAATGTCCAATCAGTGGCATCATTGGTTTCGAGTTCGCAGCGGCAAATACCTATCGTTGAACGTAAAATAATTCGGTGTTGGTTTTGTGTATAATATTAACTGCAGAATAAGTAAAGGATGTGAATTAAAAAGTAAAAACGCAACGTCTTGATTACATGAAGTTAATGTTTTAATATCTATTAATAATTATTCATTCTTAACCATTTCAGCAATATGTAGGATTCATCAGCAAAAATATTTTTTTTATTGATGTTTATTACAGAATATGTAATTTTTTAGTACTGTAGTTTTAACATTGTGAAAATTAAGAGCGGTTTGTGCATTCGCATCTTTACCACTTTACATTACAAGGAATATAAAGTAATTTATCATCTTTCTCTTCAATCTACAGTTCTATCAATACAATATTATCTAATTTTAATTCATTAGATGCCAGATTTACAACGCAAATAGCTACTCCAAAAGTACCAAATAATGGCCAATAAAAATAAAAATATTATTTCATTCCCTGTTATTTGTAGCCAATTTCTTTATATTATATTCTATAAAAACTGTTACATGAATTTAAATTCATATAGTCACATTATAAATGTTGTGTCTACAAAAATGTTTCTTTTTCACGATAACCATTTTCAATGTGTTAAGGTAACACTTCGCAAACTACAATATATTTTAATATTGTAGTCTTTGTAACTACTGTTCTCCTGTTTATTTAGAGTGACTTGTGACGTTTGATCAGGTGGGACGCGGTTATCCAAACAAAAAAATCAAGTCGCAACAGACCTCGCGATTGGATAACCGCTTCCCAGTTGATCAAACATCAGAAGCCCCCCAAATGCAATCGGAGTACAACCGTTGTTTTTAGCCGCTAGTGTGCTTAGTGACGACCGCGACTGTAAATGAATGAACTGGCGAAAGAAAGGCTGTGTTCCGCGTGCGCGTGCGCGTGCGACGGGTGAGTGAGCGGGGGCGTGTGCGGTGTGTGCGCAGGGCGCAACGGCGACATGCGGCTGCCCGAGGAGCGCGAGGCCGCGGCGGCGGGCGAGGAGGTGGCCGGCCTGTGGGCGGGCTACCACGGCGCGCTCGGCCTCAAGAAGTCCACGCCCCCGGGCGCCGGCCGCGAGCAGTCGGTGAGTACCCCAGCGAGCGCCCCTGCTCGCCTCCAGCGCGTCGGTGGCCACGGGTAGAATGGGCAACTCCGCCCCCCCCTGACTATTTTGGGGTTTTTGTTTTCACTCAAAAATAATTAAATATTATTTAGTTCTAATTCAAATTAATGGCTATGAATTATTTCTATGGCATGGAGAAATGAATTCTTTACTGGAAGGGGATGGTTTGAATTTTTTTGAAAAGTACTAGTCTTGATTCATCTGACGCCTGCACTGACTTGATCCCCTCTCCTCTCCCCCCCCCAAACGGAAGATAATAAGTAACGCAAAAGGAAATAGAAATTAAAATTATTGTCTCAGAATGTACATGTCGACATTTTTGGCGCAACACTTTTGTTGCGAGGTGAAAATGATTAATTTTCGTTGTAGTATACCCTGCGTGTTTTTCCTACTTTCTTTGCTTCTTGCTCATAATGGATGTCAAGAAATTATTACCAGGGGCACTTTTAACTATTACTGAATTTGCTCTCCATGTGCATATAAATAGGATGTGAGAATTAGTTGTGCTGGCTTGAGTGTCCAAAGTGGGGTATGAACTGGCTCAACGCCTCAATCTTTCGTAATTTGGTAATATGGTTTGAAAATTAACTGAAAATACTATTTTTTTAAATAGTAGGCTTCAGAACCAAAATTCTCAACATTTAAAGACCCCTGACGTATTTATCATTAGTTTTACTCTTTTGTGAATTTTAACTATTCTAAAACTTCTCATGTCCGTCTATTTAATGAGAATTCGGGTAAACTGCCCTTAGAACCGCGTGGTACCTCTCCTTCGTGGCTGAGAGGCGCAGTTTCCGTTCCCAGGTTCTCAGAAGCAGCGCGAGTGCTGGGGCGGTTTGTTTACAAGACGTAGTACGTGGCGGCGATGTGATACGACGCGTCACGTCACGCGAGGCAGCCCTGCGTTGGCACGCGTGCGTGACGTCACGAAACACCCTGCGCGCCGTCACGTTTTGTTTCATCCTTATTCAAGCTCGTGGCGTTACAGTCTTTTTTCATACAGCATTGTCTCGTAATTTTTCACTTTCACGCTCTAAGAACTTTGGTTCATTTTTCGCAAACTTGTTTTTGCTTCTTGAGCCATGTCCGACCCCCCCCCCCTCTGTAATTCAATTAACTGCAAGGTCCGGCTAAGCGCTTAAGAGAAGCCCTGCAGTGATGGTGTATGCTTTCAATATTCACACTTCTTTTTCGGGGGTTTATACAAAGAAACATAATAACGGCAGTACTAGCTCATGTTACATGAAAGTATGAATGTAAATAGGATTATATTACGCTCACCATGTTATATTTTCGGAGTGCGGCTTTATTAGCGTAATGCACTGCAACAAAAGTGCGTTAAAGCTTGTACTGAAAAATAGGGCACACATGCGTGGTGCGACATATTAACGCAATCTCCATTACCTGTGTTCGGATTAATCTTTTTGCGCATTATACGCGAGTTCAGTTTGCTTTGTTACAACGCTGCAATACAATTGTCAAAAATCTTCTAATTTGTGTATTACCATTTTGCATGCTCCAGAAAAAATTGTTAGCCGGTGGATACTACAAAACCTTCCAATACATTATTAATATTATTGCAAAAAATTATACTTATTGCTCGTTATTACTGTTGTCACTTACGATGTTTGAATGTTATCCGCCTAGAAGTTTTAGGTACACCGTTTCTTTTTCATACAGAAATCACTTTCTTGTCTGGAGGTTGTTAACTTTTCACAAGAGTAAGGAATCCTCATAATTGGCGTACATAACGCAATTACGAATAACACATTCCATTTTTGTAGTTTTTGGCATCACATCGAAACAAATATTCTTGAGCCATTAAACGAACGTTATACCCCATCTTGGGTTCAGGAGCTCAGCAATTCGCAAGTATCAAACATCGCCATCCGGGGCAGTTCAATCCCACGGCATTGCAAACTGAGGTGTTGAGCCGGTACACACTCCGATGTCGGCCAGGCGAGGGGGCAGCTCGTTGAGAATCCGGCCGGCGCGGCGCGGCGCGGCGGCGCGGGCGTTGAGCAAATGGAGCTCAACGAAGCGTTTGCTCGGCGTTTCCAGAGCCCTCTGATGCTGAGCGACCGCAGCCTCACGCAGGAGACGTCGTCGGTGCACGACGAGACGTCGTCCAGCGGCAACAAGGAGGACGAGGACGACGACGACGACGAGGCGGAGGACAAGATCGACCCGCAGCAGTACGACCCCGAGCGCCTCAAGGCTTTCAACGTGAGTAGCGTTGGGCAAGACACATTTGTCCAATAGTCCCGTTATTATTATTATTATTATTATTATTATTATTATTATTTTGTAATTGCCATTTTAAGATAAATGGAGTGACCTTATTAGTTGCGCACGTTACGCGGGGCGCCCGCGGTGAGTTGTCAGCAAAATTAAATATGTAGTTCGTTTGTTGATGCAAATACGTTTTCTATTACTCAGGCAAATTTTACGAGCGGATTTTTTTTGTAATTTTCTAATATTGCCAAAAACGCCCATTAGTACCTTTCTCCATAATTCAACTATGTAGTAAGTGGAGTAGGGGTTCTGGTGTTTTAAGAAAACATGAGTATATTGTACTTCTCCTAGATATGTCGCTTACATTTTTTCCCTGCTTTTAACGATAAATAAGTAGAATCGATTTCTTTACATTAATTGTAAGCTATCGAAAACAATGAACTTAACACATTATTTTACTGGCAGATTTTATGTGATTATAAGTATTTCTTTATATCACTCTCATGATGCACAAATGTTTTCTTTGTAAGCTCATTACTTAAGATACGTTCCGTTGTAAATTTCTATTTATTCGTGACACTGAAGAGAGGACTAACTTGTGTGTTATCAGCTGTTTTATTTTTTAATCACCGTGTGCAGTAATTTTGACGCGTTTCAATGTTAGGTATTTTCTTCATTTTCAGAAATCAAAGGCGTGTTTCTCAGTAATAGGGAATGTAACTCTGATAAAAACCTTGCCATTCACACCTGCAAATATAGTATAAGGTATAGAGATTTCTGAAATCATAAAGTGGTTGCATTTTTTGCATTTAGAAAAATGAAACGTTTTTCGCAGCGCTGCGAAAACGAAGCTCTCCGTTTTCATTGCTGGGTTTCTGTAATGTTGTAAACAAGTAGACGCCAAACAATTGAAACGTGTTGCATAAAAGCTGAAACTCGGAATGTTATTCTTCGTTTATGTAACGTGTTCTCTGTTTGCGTCACAATTCCATTATTCATCTAGCTGCCGTGTAGGCCGGCCGATCATCGCGCCAGGACAATAATTGATCTAGCGCCTGGTGGAGGCGAGATGAAATGGAATGTCTGCAGTAGATCGATGGAGTTCACCGTTACGAGTGTATTCAAACGAGACCGCCCAACTTCGTATCCCGTGCACGCTCTGTTTCCATTGTGCACATCTAGTCCGTTTACGATTTAATTCCTCTTTTGTTTTACGCCCTCTTTTTCTTGATATTGAGACAAAGAGTTAACGTTTTGCGTAAATTTAAAAGATTACGTCATTAAATCATGAGTTTGAGGTATAGAAACATCATAGAAATATACATTCAATAGTAGGAACGTCATTAAATCTTACCTCTACCATTAATAAATGACAAACGAAATGGTCGAATAAGACGTACTGTCAATTTTCCATATCAATTCAATGAAAATGACATGCTGAACAACACACGTATAGCTAAATGTTATGCCAAAAGCAAAGGGATTTTGTGAATCTCGGTAGAATATTCGAGAAAAAATCGCCAGAATTCATTGAATCCTCGTTAAATTAGAGTTTTATCTCGAATTAGGTAAAGAAAGATTTTTCTCCTGTGCATGAGAGTTTTTTAAGGTTGATAAATTGTAATGATGTGAATAAAACTCGCGCCTATGAGCCTCTCTGAGCGAGCGTGTGCAGTCGTAACGCCACCGCGCGTGTTGTGTGCCCCGCAGATGTTCGTGCGGCTGTTCGTGGACGAGAACCTGGACCGCATCGTGCCCATCTCGAAGCAGCCCAAGGAGAAGATCCAGGCGATCATCGACTCGTGCACGCGCCAGTTCCCGGAGTTCGCGGAGCGCGCGCGCAAGCGCATCCGCACCTACCTCAAGTCCTGCCGCCGCAACAAGCGCTCGCGCGACTCCAACGGAGCTTGGGATGCTGTAAGGATTGTGAGGATCTTTCGCTCTTGGCTCGCCGTGTGCCGTGTGCTGTGACCGTGCCTCCTCTTGTCTTTTGTCTGTCGTGTCTTGTGCTCGTGGTGGTGTCTGTCTCCTCCTGTCGGTC